GGTAATGGTGAGAAAGGAGGGCTCCGGCGATAGTGAACACAACTAGCGCACGAATAAACCACAAGGTTCCCACAGACGGCGCCAACTGATAATGCTGTCCGTCCCGGGTGGATGGGTCGGGCTGGTCCAGGCTCTTCAAGTTCCGGTTCAGGGTGATGATTCCGCCAAATGACCTGCAAACAAGTCCAAAGGGGAACAGGGCAGTCCCCCAGTGAACCCTCTGGCGAGAGAATCAGTTGAGGAAGAAGGAAATGTAGAGAGAGAGAGAGAGATAAAAAGCTTCACCTTTCTCTTGTCTTTCTATTCTTGCTTATATCCTTTGGTAATCATTTCACTGTCCCTTGTGACGTGCCCCATTCCGCCGAAAGCCTGTGCCGTAGCTTACCTTGTTCAGGGTGAGAGGGTTCTGTTCCGACGGGGAGGTGTTGTTGTAATAAATGCTGTGATAGGTTGTATTAATGGTGATGTGTTGTGGTAATAACTCTGCAGATCTTTGTCTGCTGATGTGGCCTGTGTTCCACCTGCCATGTGCCCGAATGCCATTGGCCCCCCATGTCTAGATGGCCTCCAGCTGTCCTGTGCCCCCTTCCGCCGAAAGCCTGTGCCGTAGCTTACCTTGTTCAGGGTGAGAGGGTTCTGTTCCGACGAGGAGGTGTTGTTGTAATAAATGTTGTGATAGGCTGTATTAATGGTGATATGTTGTGGTAATAACTCTGCAGATCTTTGTCTGCTGATGTGGCCTGTGTTCCACCTGCCATGTGCCCGAATGCCATTGGCCCCCCATGTCTAGATGGCCTCTAGCTGTCCTGGGCTTTGCCAACCGGGTTATGCTATTGGTCCCAAGCGATGGGTTTGGGGTGGTTTGCTGTGGGCCGTATGCCTTGTGGGTCTATCTATGTCAGATTTGATAGTTGTAAAAGAAAAACTGAAATTATTATAATTTGGATATGATATTTTGTCATATTGATTATTTTAACCTATTTTATTTTTATTGACTATTTTATGTTAGTAGAATTTCTATTAGGCTACAATCGATAGTGTCTTAACACAAATTTCAACAAATGAAATGATCAAGCAATTGTTTTTAATTCTAATGCCTTGACAAATTCAATAATTTCTTTAGAACTATGAGAGAAGAAATAAATTGCAAAGAGAAGAATCCCAAAAGAAATTATATCAATAAACTTTCTAAATTACACTACAATCCAAAGTAAATATTACATTAACTAAACCAAACTACACTATAAACTACACTATAAATCTAAGTTTAAGATATTTGTTATTTGGGCAAAAAAAATTCTGAAAAATGCTTTAGAGCTCGAATTCTCCGTGGCTCGAGTGGCCCGAATACAAAACGACATTGTTTTGGTTTTTTTTCTTTTTTCCTCTCTTTTATATCAGAAACAGAAACAGAAACAGATGGAGAAAGAAAGAGAGAAAGAGAAGGAAGTGGAAAGGAAGAAGGAAGAGAAAAGAGTGAGGGTAGACCATCACCGGTGCCATCCATCCTCTATGTATATACACAGATCTATGTATACACAGATAGATCTGTGTGTATATACACAGATCTGTATCTCTCTCTCTTTCTCTGTGTATCTATCTCTCTCTGTGTGTATATCTCTCTCTCATTCTCTGTATTTCTCTCTCTCTCTCTCTGTGAAGTCTCTGTGATAATGATGATGCGCTGGTTGTTGATGATGTGTTGGTTATTGATGACTTTCTTCTTCTTCTTCTTCTTCTTCTTCTTCTTCTTTTGTGAGTCATGGAAATGATGAAGAAAATGAAAAAATAAAAAATAAAAAAAATCCCAAAACGTCGTCGTTTTGGGATTTCGGACCACTTGAGCCACGGAAAATTTGAGCTACATGGCGAGATTGAAAAATTATTTGTTTTCCTTCATCATAGCCCCTCTAGGCTGTTGATTGGCCACAACAGATTATAAACACCAACCATTATAGCCTTTGTGTGCCATGTCAAAAAGTCTAGTTTTTTGGTTATTTTAGTTCCAAAAAAAATAAAATAGGTTAAAAAATCAATAAAACAAACCCATTGGGGCTCAACAAGCCATATAAAACAAAATAGGCTATTTTAGCCAAATAGGATAAAATATCACATTTAACTTATAATCATTTTTTTTTCTCTCACAAAAGTCAAAAAAATAAAAAAAAAACATATCTCAAACGAGATTTTTTAGCCCTAGATTAAAATAGTCAAAAATTTAAAAAGTCAAAAAGCCAACCCATATCCTAAACGGGCTCAAAATATCACATCTAAATCATAGGCAGTGTTTGGGAACTTGGTTTTAGGATTTTTTTTTTTGTTTTGTTTTTTTTTCACTACAGGACAAATATATTTCAAAACAAAAAAAAAACAAATTCAAACAAAATATCACATCAAACCCCATAATCAATTCACTTTTTCTCTTACAAATATCAGATCCAATCACAACAAAATGCAACTATCTTTCCAAACATAAAAAAATTTCTCCAATAATATCTTACAACTAAAAAAACCTACAAAAAAAACCCACTTCCCAAACACCCACATAATCATTTTATTTTTCTCTTACAAAAGTTAAAAAAATTAAAAAAATCTATCTCAAACGTAACTTTTTAACCTTAAATTAAAATAATTAAAAAATTAACTTTTATCCCAAACCAAACCATAGTTTCCTTCTCAATCTGTGGGACACTAGCATTAGCTTGCAACTAGCAGCGCTTTTTTTTTTTTTTTTAAATCAAACATCTGCCCCCTCCGGGTTCAAATTCTGTATTATTCAAAGAGGAGTTTGACGGTTAAGATGGATAGATTAATTTCTCACAGTTTCATTTATAAAAGTGGATTCTTTAAAATCCCATCTTGCGGTGTCGTGGACATTTAAAAAAAAAAAAATTATTTAATCCTTGTATAATCAATTATATGATTATCATCTAAATATATAATAAAAATTAATTTTAAAAAAAAATATTTAAAAAATTTATCAATTTTATATAATTTTATCTTTGATTGGTAGAAATAATTTTTAAGAATTCAAAAATATTTTTTGACGTTTATTTTTATCAAATTAATTTATATTTTATCAAATTGACAATTTTACCTTTGAAATTAAGCAATAGTATCTTCAATTGTTCTCAGAATCAAATGTGTTACTATTAAAAATCAGAGAACAAAGTGACATGAACCCCAAATTATAGGGACTGTTAGTGTAATTTATCCTAAAAAATTTGTGTTTGGGATGATAGATGACTTTTTTTTTTTGTAATTGATTTGATGGTTGTAAGAAAAAAAGTGAAATAATTATGATTTAAATATGATATTTTATCTTATTAATTATTTTAGAGATTTTTATTGATAAATCCATTCTAGAGTTGTTATAACCCATTAGGTCCACTAAAGTATATTATAACCTAATTAGTCCCATAAACTTTTCTAGATATTCCATAAAGTCCATTTTTCTAATTTAATATAATTTTTTGGACTATTTTGCCCCTGTATATATATATGTACAGTGTTAATACGTAATAGGCGCCTGTTTCTTCGTTCATGCAGTTTGGCAGTTTCTATTTTACGCTTTTCATCATCAATCCAATTCCGAGAGTTACGTTTATGTTTTGCATGCTCGTTGCAAGGATTGGTTGTGCCAGGGTTTCATCCTTGTGTGAAGATTGTTGTTGTTGTCATTGGACTTTGATGTTTGCTTAATGTTGACATCTTGTTAATAGTAATGTGAATGTTCACATCTTCATATTGTGAATTATGGATTTAGCACTTGAACTGTACACGTAGTCATCTATTTTTTGCACAATGTGAATTTTCATATCGATTTTCATTACTGTTCATTGTTGTGTTTTTGTGTTTTTACAGGAGATGGATACCTTTATGCTATTGGTGTGTACATATGGTTGTAGTACAACTGTAATAAATGTTGCCCGCGCAATGTGTTATTCTCGTTTGGTGGAGTGTTTGTGTGAGAAATGGGATGAGTTGTCTGCTGGTTCTATTTCATTGTTGTGTTAATGTTCTCATTTTACTTTGATGCTTGCTTAATGTTAACATCTTGTTAATATCAATGTGAAAGTTTACATCCTCATAAACTGATGTGAATGTTCACATCATTATATTATGTGAAGATTGTTGTTGTTGTCATTGGACTTTGATGTTTGCTTAATGTTGACATCTTGTTAATAGTAATGTGAATGTTCACATCTTCATATTGTGAATTATGGATTTAGCACTTGAACTGTACACGTAGTCATCTATTTTTTGCACAATGTGAATTTTCATATCGATTTTCATTACTGTTCATTGTTGTGTTTTTGTGTTTTTACAGGAGATGGATACCTTTATGCTATTGGTGTGTACATATGGTTGTAGTACAACTGTAATAAATGTTGCCCGCGCAATGTGTTATTCTCGTTTGGTGGAGTGTTTGTGTGAGAAATGGGATGAGTTGTCTGCTGGTTCTATTTCATTGTTGTGTTAATGTTCTCATTTTACTTTGATGCTTGCTTAATGTTAACATCTTGTTAATATCAATGTGAAAGTTTACATCCTCATAAACTGATGTGAATGTTCACATCATTATATTATGTGAAGATTGTTGTTGTTGTCATTGGACTTTGATGTTTGCTTAATGTTGACATCTTGTTAATAGTAATGTGAATGTTCACATCTTCATATTGTGAATTATGGATTTAGCACTTGAACTGTACACGTAGTCATCTATTTTTTGCACAATGTGAATTTTCATATCGATTTTCATTACTGTTCATTGTTGTGTTTTTGTGTTTTTACAGGAGATGGATACCTTTATGCTATTGGTGTGTACATATGGTTGTAGTACAACTGTAATAAATGTTGCCCGCGCAATGTGTTATTCTCGTTTGGTGGAGTGTTTGTGTGAGAAATGGGATGAGTTGTCTGCTGGTTCTATTTCATTGTTCTGTAAACTACCTGGGATTAATAAGTGTCATTTGGACAATGAGCAAGAATTTCAGAACATGGTACTGCTTGCTAAATCAATGGGGGTACAACATGCAGAAGTTGTGGTTGAGTTGAAGGGTGATATTGGTCAGTCAAGTAGTTTGGGATTGCTGCGTGTGGGGGTTGAGGATGAAATTGATGCACTACGGGGATTTTGCCACCATAAGGAGAAGGTGTTAACAAGAGTTACTGCTGTGTGTGCGATGCGGGAGGAGAGGGGGTGTTTGTGGGCTATACATTGTAGAGCACAACGAGCAAATGATTTTTTCTACATCAAGAGGTTTAGTGATGTGCATACTTGTGGTACGGATGTTCGAACATCGAAGAATCCGCGAGTTAGTTCGGATTTGGTGTCGAGTACCATATCTGAAATTGTGAGGGACAAGCCGTTGACTCGGCCGTGTGAAGTGGTGACTATCTTGAAGAGGGATTATGGGCTAGATGTGAGTTACCATGTTGTATGGTTGGGTGTGGAGAAAGCAAAGGCTGGTATCCATGGAGATCACTCGTTATCGTTTGACCAGTTGCGGTGGTATTCGGATACTGTGATGCGGTACAATCCGGGGAGTTATGTCAATATTGACTATGATGCGAGTAGTCAACAGTTTTGTCGCTTCTTTGTGTCATTCGCTGCGTGTATTTCTGGGTTCAATGCTTGTCGGCCTTTATTATTCCTGGATGGAACATTCCTCAAAGGAAAGTACAAAGGTCAGCTACTTGCGGCAACGGCGAAAGACGGGAACAATGGTTAGAAGTTTTTTTTACCTGTCTATTCATGTCAATATTCGCTCTGAGCAGCGTAGTCTGGACGAAAGAGTGATTGCTAAATTATAAGTAATGTGAACATTCACATCAGTGACATTAGTATGCACTGATGTGAATGTTCACACCTTTGTATGCTAATGACAGAAATGTTAACATCAGACTGATGTGAATGTTCACATCAGACTTATTACACTCTTATGTGAATGTTGACATCAGTGTATACTAATGTTAGTTGATCTATTAATGAACAGTACTGTGAATGTTAACATTTTCAGTGACTCAACAAGCAACAATGAATTATTAATGGTCGTTAATGTGAATGTTCACATCGTTGATGTTTACGAACCTGAATCCAAAAACAGCAATAGTAAAGAGGGCAATGTACATATGAACATGCACATGACCTGTTTTGTTTATACTATTTTTGTATTCACTTTGGAATATTGTGAACAGTTGTGTATTGGTGTTGTGTTGTAGGTCTGTTTCCTGTTGCATTTGCAATTGTTGATTCGGAGACTACGGCTAATTGGTCGTGGTTCTTGCATGAACTTGGGAAGGTTGTTGATGGGAAGCGCCATATTACTTTTATTTCGGATCGTAATCTTGGTATGTTAGAAGCTATGCCAAAGGCGTTCCCATCGGCTCATCACGGTTATTGCTTACAACACTTGAAGAGCAATTTAAGAGACCGGATGAAAGGAATTGATAATGGATTCAGGGATCACCTAGTAAGGAGTTTGGGTGACTGTGCCTACGAGCCAACTGTGGTAGGGTTCCATGAAAAGCTTGCAAAATTAAAAGAGGAGGGTAAACAACGAGCTCATAATTTTTTCAAGGACTTAGCACCTAAGCACTGGGCAAATTCATACTTCAGGTAATAATAGATTCCTAAGGTATTCCATTTTTGAAGTTTAGAATGGTAGTGATGTGGATTTTCAGTTTATAATGGTGACAATCTTCAAATTGTGTTTCATCTTCAATGTAAATGATGTGAATGTTCACATCTTCTAATGATGACTGATGTCATGTTCACATCTGTTAATTTGTCAAATAGTCATGCAATGTATTACAGATTTGAATGTTGACACGTGTCATATTTTGTTGTTGTTGTTAACATTCACATCTGTCTATCATTTAAGTTGACAACGTAATAACCATGTAATGTGAACATTCACATTAGTAAAACTTGGTAGCAGATGTGAACATTCACATTATTATACCCTGATGTGAATGTTCACAGCATTATACCCTGATGTGAATGTTCACATCAGTGTATACTAATGGCAGTACTGTGAACGTTCACATCTGTCAACATTCTGTTAAATTCCGTATTGTACAATGTTTGTGATATACTGTGCAGGGGCATGCGTTATGGGGAGATGACATCCAATGCGGCGGAGTCATTAATAACTGGATTAAAGAAGCACGTAATCTTCCTATCACTCAAATGGTGGACAAAATTCGTACTCAGTTGATGCGGCAAATGTCTGCACGGCGTGACCAAGCAAACAAATGGAATGAGATTATTTGTCCGACATTCGAAACAAGGCTCATGGATTCGTTCAATGACAGCAAGTCTTGGCAAGTTAGCAAAGCCAACGAGGATGTGTTTGAAGTTCATTCGATACCATCGGTTACAGTTGATGTTGCGAGGCGTACATGTTCATGCTTCAAATGGCAAATCAACGGATTCCCGTGTGACCATGCTGTTATTACCATTCAAAAGAGCCGCTACAATCTCAATGATTGTGTAGAACATTATTTTCATGTAGAGACATATCGTGCAGCCTATTCGGGAGCCATATTCCCTATACCATCGGTGGAGAAGCCGCCTTTTGATCCCACGGACTTTACTATATACCCGCCTACCGTGAAAAGACCACCCGGAAGGCCGAAGAAGAATAGGATCCCATCAAGGGGTGAGAAACTGAAGCAAATAAGGTGCGGGAGATGTGATAAGTTGGGGAGCCATAATCGAAAATCATGCACGGAGCCGATATAAGATGTACCTTTTTTCATTTCAACATTGTATTTTACATCGGATTCTTATACTCATTTTTGAAATAAGATTGTGTTGTGTTGGGAAACATTGGGTTGCAATAAGATTACGTTGCGTTGGCAAACATAATAATGCATTAGTGTTTGATTTGTGTTTTGTTTTTACTTTTTTAAGGTACCAATCTGACATTTATGTTGGTTGTGTTTTGGATGAATGCATGCTGTTAACATTCACATTATGTGAATGTTCACATTGTTCAACTATCAAACATTTCTGTGGTGGGAATGTTCACATTGTTGTTACTGTTAACAGCAATGTTTACATCAATGTAACCATTTGCATCATCAACTCATACGATGTGAATATTCATGACATCATTGTTGCCATTCGCATAATCAGAAGTTATGATGTGAATATTCACATCATCAAATTGGTAGATGTGAATATTGACTTGTGTTAAGAAATATCATAATCACACCTGTCATATTGTGTTACATGAACACTTTAAGCAATATTCACATCCATGTAGTACGGTTTAAAATAGAAGAAAGTGTACGATCATTCTGTGATGTGAACATTGACATCATGTCATGTGTATCCAAAAAAAAAAAATACAATCTCAATCTGCATGACCAACGCAAAATAGGCCTGAAAATGCATATACATATATTGACTGAAAAGTATCTGTACAAGCAGTGATATAGACTTCATTTACAATTAAGCTAGTGAAACTAAATTGTCTTAAATGTGGATAACAGATTTGGGTTACAGTGATAGGTGGACACCCCCCACCTATAGGTTTTCACATTGCACTGTCTTTCTGTGGTTCAGGAAAAGGTGTACTAATGAGTCTCTCATTTGACACCATTCAAAGCGATCTAGGCTGGCAACAATGTCTTCACGATATACATGCGCCCTCATGATGTAACAAACTGCAGGCCCACAATCCACCCTGAAAATGCAAACTTCTTGTTAGATTTTGAAATATAGGTGGGTAAAGGTTGTGGAACATGTGTAGAAATCGATTTTAGGCTTACGAATTTGATGCTTGCTGAGGACAGATGTCCACTGATATGATTGTTTTCGAAGTATTTTGGCTTGATAAATTGGTCCATAATGGTGATGACGGTCCAATGTTGTGCACCAAAGCTGTGATGTAGTCCCTCTGCCAACAATGAAATTTCATATTAGGAACCAACCAACATAGGGCATACGTCCAAGTTCAAATATTACACATCACGACAAGTATTGTTTTTGACAGCCACTTACCAGTATTTGTGCTTTGTCAATATGTGGGTCATGTATGCCTTCTCTTGGGCGCAGTGAGTTATAATGCCTCCATACATTCTCTTTCACGTCGTACACAACAATTGTCCAGTGAAAGTTGTCGTGTATTGGGAAGATTAAGAATCTCTGGCCTTGATACTCCTTGATAGGTACATCAATTAGTTTATTCCTCTTGTGGAGGGGGTACTGTTCAATGATTTTCTGCACACAAAGGGCATACAATGATGTACCAAGTATTTATATCGATGTTTGGTGTTAATGGTTTGAATGTTCATCTGCTAATGGGGAGTTATGTTACTGATGTGAATGTTCACATTTCCTAATGGTGAGTGAAACTACTGATGTGAATGTTCACATCTGTTAATGTCAGTAATGCTACTGATGTGAATGTTCACATCTGTTAATATATTTGTGTTCAAAAAAAAAGTAAACAATTTTGTACTAATGAGTCTCTTATTTGACACCATTCAAAGCGATCTAGGCTGGCAACAATGTCTTCACGATATACATGTGCCCTCATGATGTAACAAACTGCAGGCCCACAATCCACCCTGAAAATGCAAACTTCTTGTTAGATTTTGAAATTTAGGTGGGTAAAGGTTGTGGAACATGTGTAGAAATCGATTTTAGGCTTACGAATTTGATGCTTGCTGGGGACAGATGTCCACTGATATGATTGTTTTCGAAGTATTTTGGCTTGATAAATTGGTCCATAATGGTGATGACGGTCCAATGTTGTGCACCAAAGCTGTGATGTAGTCCCTCTGCCAACAATGAAATTTCATATTAGGCACCAACCAACATAGGGCATACGTCCAAGTTCAAATATTACACATCACGACAAGTATTATTTTTGTCAGCCACTTACCAGTATTTGTGCTTTGTCAATGTGTGGGTCATGTATGCCTTCTCTTGGGCGCAGTGAGTTATAATGCCTCCATACATTCTCTTTCACGTCGTACACAACAATTGTCCAGTGAAAGTTGTCGTGTATTGGGAAGATTAAGAATCTCTGGCCTTGATACTCCTTGATGTGTACATCAATTAGTTTATTCCTCTTGTGGGGGGGGTACTGTTCAATGATTTTCTGCACACAAAGGGCATACAATGATGTACTAAGTATTTATATCGATGTTTGGTGTTAATGATTTGAATGTTCATCTGCTAATGGTGGGTGATGCTACTGATGTGAATGTTCACATCTGTTAATGTCAGTGATATTACTGGTGTGAATGTTCCCATTTGCTAATGGTGGGTGATGTTACTGATGTGAATGTTCACATCTGTTAATGTGAGTAATACTGATGATGTGAATGTTCACATCTGTTACTATGAGTTATATTACTGATGTGAATGTTCACATGTGTGTATCATTTAAGTTTATCAACATAATAAGCATATAATCTTCAATGCGAATGATGTGAATGTTCACATCTGTCAATGTGAATCTTCTCAAAGGTCATTTTATGTTTTTGTTAACATTCACATCTGCCTATTATTTAAATTAATAATGTAAGCATGTAATGCTGAGAATAACATCCACATGTATTGAAACATAATCAAAATTAAAGTCTAGTGGTTACCAAACATGTGCTTGTAAAGATGAATGATGAATCTTCCAAACTTGGGTTGACTAGCCCTTGTAGTTCAAGTAGAATTTCACCATACGCATCTATCACCTGCAGAACCGGAGGAGTGGCAGTACATTATTTACAGTGTCTTTACCCTATGTGTATGTGTGTGTGTGTGTGTGTGTGTGTGTGTGTTTTGTACACATTTACAGTTGCCATACGTTGTTGGTTATTGATTCTTCCTTGATGAGGTGTATGATGTCATCAAAATACACATGTTTAGTCTTTGAGTCCCCTCGCTACACTAGCAACCTGTGCATTGTGATTACAGAAAATGTTAATGTCAACATTGCACATTTATGAAATGGTCCAATTCATTAAGTATGTATGTGAACTGAACATGATGGAAAAAAAAACAGTTGGGGATATGTAAGATCACTTACTCATCACCGCCGTTCTTGTGCAAATTTTGGACTTTTTGCTTGTTGAGTTTGTTCATGTTAGCCCAGACCTTTAGTTTGTTGTTCAAGGATAACTTCTTGGACTTTGTTGGCTGCTTTTTTGGTGGTTGCTTGTCTAAATCTTGTGCAATTTGGACTGCATGTGATTTCTGTTGGGCTCCCTCTTCCCCTTTCTTCTGACCAGGCAGGTTGGGGTATTCAAACTCGTCCAACCTGTGTTCTGTCCTTACCTTCTGCTTTATGCGCTTTACCCTTGATGGGGGGCTGATAACGTGTTCCAATGCTGCAGTGGGATTGTTGTTAAGGCTGTCATGAGCCTTTTGTGCTTCAACTTGAGTGATGATGTGGACAGACTGATCATCAAAAAGGTCTTGAAGTATTGTTTTTTCACATTCCAAGTTGATGACCAACTTTGTCAGCCGCTGAATTTCTGTATCTTTCCACTCCATGCAAGTCTTCATGTCCATGTCCACATTGGATGAGCCCGATTGGTCAAATAGTTTGGCTTCAAGGGCAGCAATCACCCTTGCCCTCAACTCCCATGATTCTTCCAACTGTTTGTATTTCGCTTCCCATTGCCGTACAAGAGCCCAAGCTTTTTGGTTTTCTTTCATGAGTACTTCCACAATGTCGGGCTCAGTTGGTTGTGCTATGATGATTCCTTTCTCAGCATTGGGGGTGCTACAGCTGGGGTTGATATAATGTCCAACATCATTCAGGTCCATTGCATCGACAGAAAATGCATCGCTGTCATCACTGCGTTGACTGTCTTTGCTTTGATCCTCATTGCTTTCATCTTTCTTTGCTACTGCACTTGACAAAATCCCAGGTTTTGGCTCCACATTCAATTTTGTATGACGATACATCTTCGCTTCAGTTGGTGATGCCATTAGCTCGCCGCCATATACCTGCATTTCGAGACAGTATGTTAGTTAGATAGTTCCTCGTCTCACTATGTGAATAAGCACAATATATTTGGTTGTACTTCTACCTCATTTAAACCTAGCTTAGCCAGAGTTATGGACTTCATGTTGCTATGTAAGGCTGTGAGGTCCCATTTTACGCATCGTGGAATGGCATTGGGGTTGCGGGGTTGTAAGATTGTTGTATGCTCACACAGCCAATACTGAAACAAATAACAAATATCAGTAATTTGAATGTGGATATGAATTAACATTGATGTGAATGTTTACACCACTGGTGCAGTAATGTGAATGTTCACAATGCACCACTAGGCCAGTAATGTGAATGTTTACATCACTTAAAACTGATGTGAATGTTCACATCCGTTGATGTTAATGTTCACATCTGCTAATGTGGAGTAATGTTACTGATGTGAATGTTCACATTTCCTAATGTTGAGTAATACTACTGATGTGAGTGTTCACAACTGTTAATGTGAGTGATATTACTGACCTGAATGTTCCCAACTGTTAGTGTCAGTGTTATTACTGATGTGAATGTTCACATTTGCTAATGGTAGGGGATGATACTGATGTGAATGTTCACATCTGTTCATGTCAGTGTTATTACTATGTGTAGACACCCCATTTTTGACCGACCTCAAGACTCAGACGTCACCAATTGAGCGCTTGGTGATGTTGCATCAAAGCTGAGAAATGTGAACATTCACATCAGAGTGTTCAGAGCCCGTATATGTTCATATTAAACATAGAATAACTTGTATGAGATTTGATTTACCATTAACAACATCACACATCCGGTGACTCGTCCTGGTTTTCCACAGTTTTGGCCCAATGAACCCATCAAGGTTGCCCGGATGCTCTCAGCCCAATCATACTCGATCATCTTCTATAACGGGTCCATGTATGAGTAGAAAACCCATCCAATTATTTCTCCAGATGTAGAAAAGAATAGCTTGACGCATGCATACATGCAAACTAATCTTGCGACCTCCTCATTGTCGTGTTTTTTTGTGCCCTTCAATGCTTCCCTCAGAATTTCTCGTATTTTGGCAGCATTTAACCGACTAACATCCTTGCACATTCGGTGTATGATGCCGGTTGTTGGTTTTGCACCATAAGAGAGGTTCATCGACTTGGTGCCGCAATCCACCCCAAAAATCAGTGATACGTCGCTTCTAAAAATCTGGATGTTCTTATCCCCAATGTAAAACCTTCCACTAGATTGCTTGAATGTTTGTACTATACGCACAATGACATCATCATATTTCATGCAGTGGTTGAGGTCGATTTCGTTACTGATCAAGCTATCAAATAATGGCCAGAACGGTGTTTTTCTAAGGCACTTCAATTGGCCACTTGTAAATTTCGTATGCTTTAACAGTTTGACCAATCTAGTTATATTTGACCGGTAGTTCACTTTTTTCATGTTCACTTCTTCAGGAACAGCTGTTTGATCAGGCTTGGTTTTGAAACGGGATTCCCCTCGCTTTCGCTTGCCATCAACTTTATGGGGAAGACCTGTGTGTTCAAATGAGCACATGTAATTGGTTGAAACACAGAGGATGGAACCCGAAGCACCAAACAACATTCAACAACCAGCATTGACAGTAATTGGAACATTCACATCATTATACAGTGATGTGAATGTTCACATCAGTGTTTATTACTGTAAGTTTACACAGTAATCAATACTAATGTGAATGTTCACATCATCCATCCATGTTGGAAAAATAAATTCGGAAAACGACAACAGTTACTGGGCAATGTAAATGTTTACATGGGTGATCACATTATGTTATAATTTGCTAAAAATCAAATGGGGGAACCAACAACGCCAAACTACACCCAATAACACAAACAACTTTGGCATTGATGTCACAATGTGAATGTTTACATCATACGGCATCACAGTTTTGAGTGAAGTTTGGGGGTTCTGACATTAATGTGAACATTCACATGATGTGAATGTTCACATCAGTGTGCACTACTCTAAATTTACCCAGTAATCAATAGTAATGTGAATGTTCACATCATCCATGTTTGAGAAATAAATTTCGAACACGACAACAGTTACTGGCCAATGTGAATGCTTACATGGGTGATCACATTATGTTATAATGTTCTAAAAATCAAAGGGGGGAACCAACAGTGACAAACTACACCCAATAACACAAACAACTTGGGCGTTGATGTCACAATGTGAATGTTTACATCATACTCCATCACAGTATTGAGAGAAGTTTGGGGTGTTCTGACATTAATGTGAACATTCACATGATGTGAATGTTTACATCAGTGTGCACTACTCTAAATTTACGCAGTAATCAATAGTAATGTGAATGTTCACATCATCCATGTTTGAGAAATAAATTTCGAACACGACAACATTTACTGGCCAATGTGAATGCTTACATGGGTGGTCACATTATGTTATAATTTTCTAAAAATCGAAGGGGGGAACAAACAGTGCCAAACTACATCCAATAACACAAACAACTTGGGCATTGATGTCACAATGTGAATGTTTACATCATACTCCATCACAGTATTGAGTGAAGTTTGGGGTGTTCTGACATTACATCAGTTTGCACTACTCTAAATTTACCCAGTAATCAATAGTAATGTGAATGTTCACATCATCTATGTTTGATAAATAAATTTCGAACACGACAACATTTACTGGCCAATGTGAATGCTTACATGGGTGATCACATTATGTTATAATTTTCTAAAAATCAAAGGGGGGAACCAACAGCGCCAAACTACACCCAATAACACAAACAACTTGGGCATTGATGTCACAATGTCAATGTTTACATCATACTCCATCACAGTGTTGAGTGAAGTTTGGGTGTTCTGACATTAATGTGTTTACATCAGTGTGTACTACTCTAAATTTACCCAGTAATCAATAGTAATGTGAATGTTCACATCATTCATGTGTGCAAAAACAAATCCCGAAAACTACAACAGTTAGAGGCCAATGTGAATGTTTACATATTTTTTTACAAAATTAATTCCGAAAACATTTATGTTTACAAATTCAAATCCGAAAACCAGAAGGTATATGTATACATCAATGATGACATTATGATTTGAGAAGCAGAAGGTGGAATGGTATTCCTTACTTTTGTTCGTCATGGTTGATGGGTATGGATCACAGTCAGTGGATAAAATAAACTCAATGGGGCGACAAGAATCTTCGAACGACGAAGCACCGTCCTTCCGATGTGAAGCTTCGCAGTGGTGAGACGAAGAGGAATCTAGGGTTACTGGAGGCAATATCAGTATCGTTTCGTCGATTGAGTTTTTGTTTTGGAAATTTTGTGGACTGAATATTTCGAATAGGAATGGGTTTTTGCAGAATCGGTTTCACGCGGGAGAGGCGGAGAGGGTTATTTCGTCCTTTAACAATTAATGGACCTAATGGAATACTCTAAATTTACCTAGTACTCAATAGTAATGTGAATGTTCACATCATCCATGTGTCCAAAAACAAATCCCGAAAACTACAACAGTTAGAGGCCAATGTGAATGTTTACATATATTTTTACAAAATTAATTCCGAAAACATCTATGTTTACAAATTCAAATCCGAAAACCAGAAGGTGTATGTATACATCAATGATGACATTATGATTGAGAAGCAGAAGGTGGAATGGTATTCCTTACTTTTGTTCGTCATGGTTGGTGGGTATGGATCACACTCAGTGGATAAAATAAACTCAATGGGGCGACAACAATCTTCGAACGACGAAGCACCCTCCTTCCGATGTGAAGCTTCGCAGTGGTGAGACGAAGAGGAATCTAGGGTTACTGGAGGCAATATCAGTATCGTTTCGTCGATTGAGTTTTTGTTTTGGAAATTTTGTGGACTGAATATTTCGAATAGGAATGGGTTTTTGCAGAATCGGTTTCACGCGGGAGAGGCGGAGAGGGTTATTTCGTCCTTTAACAATTAATGGACCTAATGGAATATTCAGAAACAGTTTGGGTTTTATGGAACAAAACAGTTATAAATAGGACTTATCAAAAAATGGCCCTTTTAAAAAATAGTTGATCCAATAATCAAACTTTTTAGTTTTATCACATTTGTCTTGAAGAAATAGATGATATATTTTCAAAAGCACACTTGTTATCCATTGTTTGTGAGACAAGTGTGATAAAATAAAAATGTTACAATTATTATATTGACTTAATTTTTTTATTAAATGATATGCACCGAAAGTCATATAAAATAAATAATTTAAATTATCAAAAAAAATAAAACTCATGATGAATCCAATAAGTCCAAACATGATGGTTATGAACAAATTTGAACACGAAAAAAAACCTAACTGAAGTAAAATTTCAATGACTAGGTTTAGGTGGGCAACCTGTCTTATGGGAGGGAAAATGAGTGAGAGCACTAATTAGTGCTATCACTAATGATGTGGTAGTGGGTCTCATCAGGAATGATTTGATGTTTTGACCTTGGTGTTGTATTTTTTTTCTTTTTTTATTGAGTGTCATGTCATTAGTGGTCTTTTTAGAATTTCAAAATTAGTGATCTCTATCATTCTTGTTTATAGGAGAGGTTATTTGGTGACCTTTCTCCATCATTTATTACTTGCAGTTTGTCAAGTTATTTGTGAATGGAGGATCTTTCTGGTCTAAAATTTAGATTGGTGGATATTGTTTGGGTCTGTAGACTCATGGGTCACATTTTGATGATTCAAATTATTTATTATGTTGAATATTTCGTGTATTTTATTTATAAAAAAATTAAATCAATTCAATAATTGTAATTTGTTCAATTTATTACATTTGTTATCAAAAAAATATATAATTTATTTTTAAAAACCTAATTATCATTCTTTTTTTCTTTTTCTTTTTTTGTAAAAAACACTGTAAAATTTAATAAGTTATAGTTATCAAATCGACTTAATGTTTTGTATTAATAAAATACACAAAATACTTGACAAAATAAATAATTTAAATTATTAAAACATAATATGTGGGCAACCCACAAGCCCAAATATTATCCTCAAATCTAAATTTCATATCGGCAGAGAATCTGCCTGCTTTCTTAACAGCCTAACAAAAGTACTAAGTTTTGTCATTTTTTAACCAATAAATATAGAATTGGAGCATTCCATCAATTTGTTAGAAATGATTTTAGAAAAATAATTTTTTCTCAACTTTGATCTATTTTTTAGGTGGGATCCATGCGTCAAAGTTGATGGTTCTAAGTGGTAATGCGTTCTATGCCGCGTTGTGATTCACGTAATATGTTTGATTACTCAAAACCATTATCAGGTAAATAAAAAATTAAAGCCAAAGTGAGCTCCATGAAAATAGAGTTTTTGGTAGAAATTCCTTAAGATTTGAATTAAAGGCTTGTTCCATATTGGTTTAGTCAGAAAACTTTCATGGGTTTATAAGGCTTGAATTTGCAACTTGGGGAGAGCCCCAAGGGACACCCCAAGTTTGTAGAAATGAGAGGTTATGGGCAAAGTGAGACCCATTGGACCTAAAATAAACACTAGCACGCCGCCGCCGCCATCCATTCGGGCGCGGATGCTTGGTGTGAGGTTGGATTGGGCTTGTTCGGCTCAATTATCTTTTTGGGCAAAAAACAATTGAATTTATTTTTATATTTTATTTTTGGAAAACAAATTCTGACTGTTTGAATTTAAATTTCCAACTTAAATTTCAAACCCAAACAGAACCTTCATGTACAGTCCCATATCTGTCCGAACAAATTCAGGAATCTGTGCAAAACACAAACCGAACAGATTGTATCTATTCAAACAAGACCAAACAGGTTCTATACTTGTTCAAACAGGTTTGCACCTATTTAATTCAAATCTGAATTTTCCCTAGAAATAGATAGACCCTCTATTGATTTTTTTTATTTTTCAGAAATTTCGTTCTTCTCTGCTGCTTCAATCTCGGCATTTTGCTACATTAATTTTTTTGTGAGAAAAAGTGTAAACACAAAGTGTGTTCGTTATGCAAACAGTTTGTAGTGTTGCTACTGTTTGTTGTTGATCATTTTATCCTATGAGATAGACGTCTACAATCAGAAAGCACCATGGAGAGAACGAATCTGTCTTAAGGACACAACGTTAAACACTAGACTTGATCAAAAATTTGTTTGAGAGATTAATTAGGTAAGTAATTAATTTACTTTCTGTTTTATTTATTTATTTATTTTTATCAGATTCTGATTTTGTTTTTGTAACAAAATAAGAATCTATTGTTTTATATTATTTTTTTTACTGGCTTGATTTTTGTAATCGAACAGTCTCTCTCTTTGCTTTATTTCTTATGTTTGTTGTTAAGTACACAAACATTATTTATTCTTAATACAGTGAAGATTGTCCTACAATCTTAAAACTGAGTATTTTTTTGTGTCTTCATTGTATTTATTTTCTGTGCTTTTACAAAGTGATATTCTGGTTGAAAAATACAAATAGTAGTCATATATTATTTGACAAATAATAGTAATGCACTGTTTATTTTCTTTGACAACTAGTAGTAATATCTGGTGTCATTAACAATTTCAGAATATTAATTTGTGTAATAATGTTACAGAAAATTATTGTGTAGTAATTTATTTTCCTAGTTTTAGTAACTAGAAAAATAAAATTATTTTATGTTATAATTTATTTTCTAGTTTGAGTAACTAGAAAATTAATTTGTGTTTTGATATTTCTGATTTTTGTAATCAGATATTATGGCTACTGAAAGTAGTACTTCAAATCCGATTGTTACAACGACTCCGGTCCCTATCCAAAACTATGTTCAAGTTTCAATAAATCATAGAAAAAAAATAGAAAAATTTAACGGTACAAAGTTTAAGAGATGACAGCAGAAAATGTTGTTTTATCTTACAACTCTAAATCTGACCCGGTTTCTCCGTGAAGAGGCTCTAGTACTTAAAGAAGGTGAAAGTGATCGATAAGTTGTTGCCGCTGTAGACGCTTGGAAACATTCTAATTTTCTGCATAGAAACTAGATCCTCAATGGTCTTGACAACATGTTGTATAATGTTTACAGTCCTCTAAAAATAGCAAAAGAATTGTGGGATTCTCTCTTCGCTTCTCTCTCTTCGTCTCGTCTCTGCTTCCCTCTCTCTTCATCTCTCAATCTGTTTGTTGTTCCCTCTCTCTTCGTCTCTGTTTTAATTGTTCATATATACTGATCGTATATAATATATATAATAAGATTTATAAATTATAATTTTTGTCATATATAATAAAATATCTAATTGTTATTTCTTAAAATATCATATATAATAATAATTTTTGTAAATTATTATTTCTTAACTTTTTAACATATAATAAATAAAATAAATCATCCAATTATTTAAAAGAAATCTAATTAAATCATATATAATAAAATAAAATATAAAATAAAATATCTAATTTTTCTTTTTATTTATTTTAACATATTTTATTATTCCTTATTTGTTATATTTTTTATTTATAATATATATCAATTAAAAATAAAAAAATAAATTAATAATAACACATTATTTAAAAAATATAAAAATA